GATCCATGTAACCCGGGGACTGCCTGTATTGCATTAGAGTTGGGTGGGGTGTGTGTAAGATTTCTGATTTGAACCATTATTGTAAGTCTGTATTTTCTAAATAATTGATTTTGTTTTTACTGTGTTTTCTAAATACTGCTTTCTTGATGGATACCTACAGCATGTAAGTGAGCATCTGTTGGCTTTGTTTTTATATCTTTTTAGTTTCTTGAAAGTAATTAAATAGTAAAAGTTGTATATATTTTTAAGTTAGATTTGGCTTTCTAGTTTGTCTTTTTTTTAAACAGGTTCAAACCCTTAATGAACAGGACTGGGAACGTGCACAACAAGCAAGTGTATTGGCAAATGTAGCACAAGCATTTGAGAGTGATGATGTCTCAGATGGTGAAGATGATAGAGAGACTATATTCAGTTCAGTCGATCTCTTGTCACCTAGTGGCCAGGCTGATGCTCAGACTTTAGCCATGATGCTTCAGGAGCAATTAGATGCAATTAACAAAGAGATTAGGTATGGTTTATCTGTGAATTACAATTATGATAAAATAAGCTTCTTTCATAGCAGAAATAAAAGATATCTCTGATTTGTGTGTGTTTATGGGTAAGCCACATACCCTCGGTGTTTGTTTTATTTATTTATTTATTTATTTTATTTTAAATGGTTAGGCTGGAAATGCTTTTGATACTGTGTATATGGATAAATTCACTATATAAATGGTGGTGGAATCAGTAGCTGTTGCTATCCATAGCAGTTGTGTGCAAATTCTTAATCATCATTTAAACTACAATGTGACAAGTTGTTCGCCATTCTCTCCTAAATTTATCTGTTAACTACTGCTATCGTAATACTCTAACAATGGATGTGTGAGTAGATGACCTTTTGCACTGTACAAGAGGTAGAATACTTAGGCACGATGGAGTACAGAAAGGCTGTAACTTCTTTGAATATCCTTGTTTCTCTGGCTTTAAAAATGAAAACCAAAGGCACTATTTATCAGTAATGTACTTACTACATAGTTTGGATATAATGTTTTCGTATGAGATTCTTGAAACACTTTAAAGTAAGCTTCATACAATTCTTGTAAAGTAGAGAAGTGGTTGACCTTTTTACGGACGCAAAAAAGAAGATAAAGTGGTGTGATGATTTGCCTTGGGTCGCAGAGGCAGTCTAGTACTTTCACCTCAAGGCTAGCCTTCCTCTTGGACAATCTTTTGGTTTCTTGGTCCAAATTATATTTTTACAGAATTACAGTATATTAAAACTTGTCCTCTTTCTGTGCAATTGCCTGTGAGTAGATCCTTCTCATTAATCCATTTTATTGTGCTTAAACACTCTTCTAAAGTTCGTCCTTTAAAATAAATGCTTCCAATCCACATTACTCTACATTGTGAAGTGTTACTAATTTTACAGAACATAAAACTCAAATGTGATGCTAACACTATTCAATCACGCTAGTTTTTGTTGCATTGTATTTCATATTCTTTTTTTGGGGGGGGGCGGGGAGGTATTGTCTTATCTTTCCTATCTGTAGAAGTCTAGTTTTCTGGAGTCATATAAATAATCACACAGAATTTAAAACCATTATTTGGCCTCACCCATCACTTATCTCATTGTAATTACTGGAGTTTTGCATTGCTTTTGCAAATGTTTATTTTACAGTGAATTAATCAACTTCAAAAGAAAACATATCACCCAGGCCTTAAACTTTTTTTAGATTGATACAAGAAGAAAAGGAAAATACAGAGCAGCGGGCAGAGGAAATTGAAAACAGAGTTGGTAGCGGGAGTCTAGATAACAATGGACGATTTCGGTCAATGAACTCCATTCCCCTTCCTTTTATCGGTGGTTCCCTTGCCGGTTCCTCTCCTCCTGGCAGTGGCCATTCCACACCAAGGCGGATCCCACGTAGTCCAGCTCGGGAAGTGGACAGACTAGGTATCATGACACTAGTAAGTATCACATTTTTTTCTTTACAATAAAAAAAAAATCTGCATCCTGAATAATAAGCCAAGTATACTTTGTCCTTTTTCACTTGTTTCCTTTCCCCTCCTACATCAGGTTCAAAACTGCTGGTCTTAACTTTCAGAAAGTCTCAAAAATATTGGTATCTCTGTGTTTTGCCTATATTTCTTACCTACATGCTGTCATCTTCTCCAGGTCTTACTCTGTGTTGCCTCTTGTCCCTGAGAGAACTTACTCCTTTTCCTCCAAATCTTGGTGCACCAACTATTTACATTCTTCTTTCTTAAGTTTATTCAAACTCTACATATTTTATTGCTACCTGTTGGTCATAATCCACATTTCTACTTAATATTTCACATACTTGTATGAAATTTGTATTTGTTAAAGCCATAATCTTGAAAATTAATGATTAAGTGCTATTTACATTTTAAATCTAGAGCTATGAAATTAACTGAAATATATCTATTTGAACTAGCAATTTACAGAGGAAATGTTTCAAACAAGTCCTAATTGAAATATTTTCTTTGCAAAAATTGACTCAAAAATGAGTTTCATAGCTGGTACTTACTGCCAAGGCTTTCTCTCCCAATGCAGCGTGACTTTTTAAAATCTAGTTTTAGTGAGCAAAAATAAGCTGCAAATCCTACAGCATCTAAAAGTCTTCATGAAATTTAGTGTTCAATAGCAACTGAAACTATTGATTTCACTTAAGTTACAACTCCCAATATTTAAACGAATTGATCAAGTAAGGTGTGGTAGTATTTATCTGAGCTATTGGTTTATGCAATAACTGAATATTTTTTTAAAAGTGTAGTAAATCTAAAGATCTTAAACATCCATCAGAATTACGCAAGCAAGATACAGGATTTTTATTAATTTCTGTTGTGAATAATGGATTTTTTAAAAAAATTAGTTTCCTAATAAAAATCCACTTGTTCATGAACATTAGTGAACATTAAACCTGTTAGCTTGAATTAAGCTCATGTCATTGTATCAAATTATATTAGAGATAAAAGTGCTGCCTTGTTTTACTGACATTACTTGTCTTTTTTTTTCAGACTTATGAAATACAAGCTTTTTTAATCATGATTCATAAATTCAGTGTTGGAACTGTTTTAAGTGTAAACTGGTGAACTAAAAGCTTGTAGATTTCTTTAACAAAAACTGTCTGATAGTCTGTATTTTTTACCACTGTTGTTCATTTTTTGCAAGGGTGTCTTTTTTTTTTAATTTTATTTTATCCATCCCAACCAGAGATGTTAAAACATGTGTAACTGCTGTATTTTTCAGCAGTTACACGTTTACATGCGAGGGGAGGGGGAGCTGAAGCCAATGCTCCTGGGGAGCCAGCTTTTAAGAGGGAAGGGGGAGCTGAAGCCAATGCTCCTGGGGAGCCAGCTTTTAAGCCAGCTCCTCATGAGCACTGCCTCCTCCTCCCTTGCATGGGAGGCAGTAATGTGGGGGATGAGGGGAAATCAGATGGGCAGGAGCCTGTATATGCAGGGAGTCAGCTTGAAAACAGGCTCCCCATGTGTATCAGCTCCTTCCTGCTCCTCTCCCCCACCCCCATGCTGCTACCTCTGTGGGAGGCAGTGCGGTGGGGGCAGGCAGCTCTCTGCGCACACTGGTTTATGCCCTTCTCTGCCACACTGTTGCCTCCCACGAGGGGCTGTGTGTAGCTGAGAGGGTTAACCAATTAGCACAGTCTCATTGGTTAACTGTGTACTCGGGTCTAGATTAATCTGTGTTTTTATTCATTTTTCTCCTCTGTTTCACCTCTAAAATAATTATAAGATTAAGATTTTCTTTATAGGGCATGGATGATCTCCTTGGGTAGTATTTAAATAGCACAGTTAGACCATGAACCCATGTATATTTTATATTTGATACCTCTTTCAGGGTTATCTAATACATAGTGGGAAGTCTCAAAGAGTAAATTGAGTTTTCACTACTATTTGATTAGCTTGTTTTGCTATACAATAGAATAACATTGATAATTGAAACAGAAATATTTTAATATAAGATTGAGTAAATCTTTATGCATTTACCATGCTTAGCTAGCATATTTTTAATTCTAATAAACTTGGCAAGTCATTTGACCAGTAAAGTAATGCCAATCACCCCACATTGTATTTGACCATAGCCAGTATTGTTAGATATATCCTCAATGAGAATACCTTGATGTTGCTTGGTAGCTTACCATTTTTATTGTATCATGGTGTCATTCTGTATTTTTAGTATTCAAATTGTTTGGCATTTTTCTGAATTAAAATAATTCAAGTAATTTGCTTTTTTGTAATTGGGTGTAAGTATCTACCTAATGCCTCGTGGAGCCCATAAAGTTGTACGCTTCTTTTTATCTCCTGATACTTTTCTAGTATTAATTCTCTAAAGTATTTGACTATTTTTGAATTACTTGTTAATATCTGACCCCTTACTTGGCAAGTTCATTTTGAACCAATTGCCCAAATCTGCCATATCTTTATAAGCTATAAAACAAATTCCTTCTTGCAGCCAGTGACGGTGCTTGTAACCAGCTAGTCTCAGTGTTATCTGTTGCACTTAACTTGTTGAACTATGTTTTCCCAGTAAATAGTTTCTATTGTTAACCAGCTTACTCTTCTAAGTAGTTAGTGTAGGTCCCATAGGCTATATCTAGACTACAGGTTTTTTTTGAAAAAAGTGGCCTTTTAAAAAAAACAAAACAAAAAACAAACAAAAAAAACCCTTCACCTATATCTAGACTGCTGCTGCGTTCTTTCAAAATTAAATCAAAAGCACACAGTGGTTTTTTCGACAGTGGTAAACCTCATTTTATGAGGAAGAATGCCTTATTTCAAAAGAGCTCATTCAAAAAAAGATGTTCTTGACCGCAAACAGGGCTTTTTTCGAAAGAGAGCATCCAGATTGCCTCGGTGCTCTCTTTCGAAAAAGCGGATCACTTTTTCGAAAAAGTCGTGGCTGTCTAAACGATCTCTTTCAAAAGAAACTTTTTTGAAAAAGCTTCTTTCGAAAGAAGCGTATAGTCTCGACATACCCATAGGGACTTAACCTTGAGTTAGGGCATGTCCTGTTCCCTGGACTTCAAGTTGTGCTGCAATTGTAAACGGCCTATGCCAGTGAGTGATTCACACACCGACTATTTGCATGGTTAGGAGAGGCTCATAGAAGTGATAGGTGCCACTTTTGCTAGTCCTTCAAGCCTCTCATCGAGAAGGAGGGACATTCATTTAAGGCTCTCTTAACAGAATCTGCCTCATTGCCAGTGTGTGAGCACTCGGATTTGGGATCGAGCAATAGCATTTCTTGTCGATTCTAGTCCCACCTACCCTGGTAGTTGTGGGACTGTGCCATAAAGGAAAGCTGTCCATGGCACTGCTCCATTCTCCAGCGGAATGTCAAAGGCCCCACCACTTCATGGTGAAAGCTTCAGAGCTCACGTCCCAGACAAAGAAGACAGCAAGCAGGACTTCCCAGGACTTCAATGCAAATCTCCTGAAGCACGCCCGGTATGGACAGTACACTTGTGACTGGTATTCTCCACAACCCAAGCATCGTTCAAGGGACAGATCCACAGCGCAGCACCGTTTACCATGCTGGCACTGTCCCAGGCCTTGTGTTTCCTGCAGCATGTCCATGAGGAGCACAGGGGTTGGTGGCTCCACTCCGCTTTGCAGCACCTCTTTGTCTGACCAGTACTGATCTTGAGCCCACTACAAGTCAGCTGGCCACCATTGTCCACACTGCAGATCCCCTAGTGGATGAGGCTCCTTGGAGGATTGTTCTTGTCATTGCTCTGCATTTAGGGTATGGGTGTGGGTATCCGTGACTAGCATGTAGCACCATGTCGATATCCCAGCCTGGGTTCCTGGTCCCCCCGCTCCACATACTCTGTCAGCCTGGCCTTGGACCAGGCCTCTAGTGTAAGCATCTTTTTCTTCACCTCTGGTACTGCAGACAGGCCCACAGACTGCCAGGTGATCACAGGCCTGGCCATTTCAGTGGTACCTCTGGAACCCAAGGAGATTTCCTGTGCCGTCCCAGGTTTCATGCTCGGTAGCTGGTATGTCAATGGTACAGTCCACCAACTCAGCCTCTGCTAAATGCCCTCTGGCACTCAAGGCTTCCAAAGCGCTCTCACTGCAGGTGGAGCAGGCAATGGAGACTCAGACTGTCTCCCCTGAGAGAGTTTCCACGGTGCATGCCTCTATCTCCTCCTTGCCTGACGAGGCAATCATGGGTCCCCCTCCAGTAATACCATTAGACGATGCTCAAGCTGACCAGGAGTTCCTCAAGAAGTCAGCTACCAACTTAAACCTCCGGGCAGAGGAATTTGAGCAGCCTGAGAATACTCTTTAGGATGTTCGGAAAAGCTGTTTTGTCCAGGATTGCCTTACATTTTTATGATGGAGAGGCCAAGATCATCATGTTTCTATGGTAAACACCCGCCTCCATTCCCCCGATAACTAAGTGGGTGGTACGCAAGTACTTTGTCCCAGCTAAGGGGCACGAGTAACTCTACTTCCACCTAGCACCCATCTCCATGGTGGTGGAAGCATAGGTACTTCCACCTGTTCCACTCAACCCAACTCCTCCTGCTCTAAGGTCTCACTCCAAGCAGTCTCTTTGAGGGTATAATCAAGGATGACGTATCTCTCAGGTCACCAGATCCTTCTCCTGTGACATTTTCACACTGCCCGTGCTCTTTCCTCCAGGCCTGTCTCTCTATAACTATGGGCTGGTGGGTCTTCAGTATTGTACAGAAGAGCTATATACTTCAGCTCTCATCCGCACACCCTCATACCACCTTCCCTCTCTGCCCCTCTTCAGGGACCCTTCTCATGAGACACTCCTGCAGGAAGTTGAGAGATTGCTCAGACTGGGGGCAGTGGAAGAGGTTCCACATTGCTATTAGAAACAAGGGTTTTATTTCTGCTACTTTTTTATCTCAAAGGCGAAAGGGGGTCCTGCCCCATTCTGGACCTGCATGGGTTCAACTATTACCTGGTGAGGCTTAAGTTTCTTATGATGTCCCTGGCCTCTACCATTCCCTGTTTAGATCCACGAGTTTAGTACACTGCCTTTGATCCCAGGTACACTTACTTCCAAATTGCCATATTCGAGTGACACAGATGCTTCCTGTGGTTCATGGTGAGGGCGACCCACTACCAGTTCACAGTTCTCCTTGCCACGGCCCCTTGGGTTTTTATCAAATGTATGTTGGTGATGGCCACCCACCTGAGGCAATGAGGGGAGCAGATGTATTCTTGCCTGGAAAATTGGCTCAGCAAAAGCTCCAAGATTTGCATGCATGTGACTATTCTACTCTACCTGTGTCACTGCCTCGACCTCTTGATAAGCACAGAAAAGTCACAGTTAGTGCTGATTCAATTTATAGAGTTTTTAGGAGTGGTGCTAGATTTGACCCTGGCAAGGGTCTTTCTCCGTCTGGACAGGCTGAGTGCTTCACCGGCTGCTACAGCAGGGTATGTCTTCAGCTTTTCAGGCACCTGGCACTCTCCTCTTATGCGGTTTCAGGCACATGGCAGTCTCCTCTTATGCGGTTAAGTACACCAGACTCCAGATGTATCCCCTTAAGCCATGGCTGGCATCAGTCTATACTCTCTCCAGACTCCCCCTGGACAGGGTAAGCCAGTCCTCTCCCTCTGCTCTCTTGCCTGGTGGACAGATCCTGAAAACCTTCTGAAGGGAGTACTGTTCTGAGCCCCTTTTCAGTCCCTCAAACTTGCATTGGATGTGTCGGACCTGGGCTGAGGCACCCATCTCCGGGATGCCCACACCCAGGGTTTGTGGACCCACAGGAAACTCTCCTCTACATAAGTGTCAAGGAGCTGCGGGCAGTTTGCATGGCATGCGAGGTCTTTCTCCCTCACCTGGTGGGCAGGGCGGAAACCTTCTAGCCAATCAGCTGGGCAGCGAGTTCGCCTCTCGCCACAACTGCGCTCTTTCCTCAAATCACTGCTATGCTCTTCCAGAAGTGGGGTACTCCCTAGGCGCATCTCTTTGCCACAGTGCACAATACAAATCTTCTGCCCCAGTCGCTGAGTGGACAGTGGGTCCCTGGGAGATCCCTTCACCATCCTGTGATTGGGTGTCCTGTTCTGTGCATTTCCGCTGATCCCTCTGATCCCACTCATCACCAACATCCTGGGCAAAAGTCAATCTGGACAAGATCAAGATGATTCTTGTTGTGCCAGCGTGGCCCCACCAGCCCTGATGTGTCACTTTGCTGAGCCTCACGGAATCCTTCCTCCTCCCCCCCCCCCCCCCCCCCGGTAACTCCTGCTGCTTTGCTTGGACCTGCTCTCTCAGGACCAACGCTACTTTCTTCACCCAGACATACCATCGCTCCCCCTCGCAGCGTGGCTACTCTGTGGTTGACAGTGGAGGAGTGTTCCTGCTCTCGTTTGGTTTAGCAGGTCCTGCTGGGAAGCCATAAGCAGTCGATGAAGCAGACTTATGGAGTCAAATGGACCAGGTTTTCAGTGTGTTTTCAAACCAATGGCTCCCTTCTGTCCTGGATCTCTGAGTTGCAGGCCTTGATTTCAGAGCCCCTGTACATAGTCCTGTATAAAAAGAAGGTGCAGCTGTGACCCCACCCTGACTTCCTACCTAAAGCGTTCTCCACTTTTCATATGGGTCAGGACATTTTCCTCCCTGTCTTCTCCCCAAAGCCTCATTAGACCACTGAGGTGAGATGGCTGCGTGCCCTGAATGTTCAGAGGGCCCTCGTGTTCTGCATTGACACAACAAAACTGTCTGCAGATTGCTCCAACTCTTTGTATAGTGGAAGAAAGGCCTCCTGGTATCCACACAAAGGATCTCTAATAGTATAACCTTCTGCATTAGGATATTCTCTCTGTTGGCGGGTGCTCAGATGCCTCCACTTATCAGGACCCACTAGACCAGAGCGTAAGCTTCCTTAGCGGCCTTCGTCACCAATGCTGGCACAACTACTGCCATTATTTTGGACTTTTCAGGATTACTGCTGCAATGCATCTGCTTATATAAGGTGGAGACAAGGGAACAAAAATCAAAACTCTCAGAATTAAGAATTTTAAAAATTCATAGGCTCTAACTTGGACAGCATAAAAACTTCAGTCCCTTCCTTGAACGTCTTCCATTACGTGGTTAATGGAGAGTCACTTCAGTCCCTTCCTTGAACATCTTCCATTACGTGGTTAATGGAGAGTCTTTGCTCAAGTATTCTCATTATTTAAAAAAAAAATAGAAGCAAAACTTAATTTACTAGTTTTCCTGTTGAGAATGTTTTTTCTGTTTCCTCCTTTAATTTTGCCTTGTATGGATGAAATATTATCTGCTAAAATGACTAGTTAGGTACCTACAGTGTTTCTGTTAAAAACCTTGATTTCCAGTGGTATGGTAATAAAATATTTTGCAGCTGGAGAGCATCTCTGCTTCCTTCCACATATGTTCTTTTATGTTATCTTCTCCCTAATATGTTTGCATCTGTGCTAACGTTTTGAGTTTGTGCTACAGAGTTTGCAATAAATCTGTTTTCTCTTGATTTCTTTTCTTTGCATGCATCTGTCAGCCTAGTGATTTAAGGAAACACCGTAGAAAGGTAAACGCTTTAGCCATATGGTGAAGTTCTTTTGTTATGTCATAGCCATAATGTGTTGATGTAAATGAGATCCTTTGCAATAATTTCATATATTTGAATAGTTGCAAATTATTTCATGTTCACATTTAATCTTTGCTATTAAATGTCATTAAATTAATAATTTTAATGATGTTGGGAGTAAGGAAATTAAGAGCAAGATGACCTTCTATAGAGGAAACAGTAATTTAGCTTGAGAGACTTTTACCCCAAGTTAAAGGTGCAGTATGTTACCCATTTGCAGTAGCTATTCCTCTATCTTTGTTCACTGAATTTTTGAAGATTACCGTCATAGAAAGGCAGCAAGTGGGGGGAGGGGGAGAGCAGGAGCTAGTGCTGGGATGACCCAGTAAAACAGTTTTCCCCCTCAGCACCGTCTCTGACGGGGGGCAGGGGAGGCAGAAGCACAACGGAAAATGGTGCAAGCAGGGTTTGAAGCCCCTACCGGGCTCTTGTACATTTCAAAAGCAGAAGTGCCTCAGGGAGCATGGGGCAAGCAAGGACTCAATTAGTCCCCACTTGCACTGTGTTCTCTGCGGCGCCCCCCTTGCTGCCTCTGAGACAAAAGCTGGTTCCCTCCAGCACCATCTCCAGGATGCTGCCTGATTCCTCCTCTTCCCCCCACCCCTCCCCCGGTCCAGCTGCCTGTATCAGAGATAGTAGGGGGGTGATATAGGGGATGTTGCTGTGAAGCAGCCCCATCCACAGAGGTCCCAGTGGGTTCCTCCCCTCCCGCCCCCCGGTCCAGCTGCCTGTATCAGAGATAGTAGGGGGGTGATATAGGGGATGTTGCTGTGAAGCAGCCCCATCCACAGAGGTCCCAGTGGGGAGCTGCCCTCCCCCCCCATTGACAAAGGCTGTTGCCGTTAAGCAACCCTATTCCTGGCAGCCGGGTCTGCTCTGGCGCTAGCCCCTATTCGCAGTGAATAGGGGCTGCTGGACTCAGTGCGAGCTGGAACCGAGCAGTCCTGGGCTAGGGATGTAAGCGACTAATCAACTAGTTGACTATCTGATAAGCAAAAGCTTATCGGATAGTCAATTAGTCGCTCCCACCCCTGCTTACTGTTTCTATCAGAAAGAGGGGTGGGGAGAAGAGAAGGAGATGCTGAGGGGAGCCAGCTTAAGAGTCCCCCACTGGCCCCAGACTCCACACAACATTTCAATCTTTGAAATACACAAGAGGTCGTGCTGGGGCTCCTGTACATTTCAAAGGCGGAATGCTGCAGGCACTTCCACCTTTGAAATGTAGCAACAGCTGAGCGGACTCTTGCTACATTTCAAAGCGGATGCACAGTGTCCCGGCTAAAGTCAGGTCGTCTGGAGCTGCCCCTGCTGTTGCTCTGTGGAAGCACTTATCGACTAATCGTATAGTAGATACAAATTATATCGACTGTACTATTAGCCAGATAATTACATTTTAACATCCTTAAGTAAGAGTAGAAATGATGGCTCCAGAATAAAAGAACTGGAGCAATCTTATCATTATCAAGTGAAAAAGTAATCAAATACATTTTCTTTTAATTCTTCATATAGTATTAATGTAGGTCTCATGCTAGAAATTAATTTTTCATTCTTTCTTCCTTAGTCTCCAGTGTCTGGGGAAGAAGTACGTGATGACAAGACCACAATAAAATGTGAGACATCTCCACCATCTTCACCTCGATCCCTGCATTTGGATAGAATTCATAAAGGAGCTTTGCATACAGTGAGCCATGAAGATATCAGAGACATAAGAAAGTAAGTAAACCAGATAGCAGAAAATATTAGGTTAAAAGTGGGGTAATATAGCTAAGGCTCAGATTCTTCTTGTAGTGATTGCTCTTTTTGGTTCCTAGTAGGTGTATGCGTGCCAAGTGCACAGTCTTTGGAAGGTTTTTCCCATAGAAGTACCCATCAGGTCAGCTGGAGTGACGCCATTATGGTGCTGTATACAGGCCACTGCCAACCCCGCCACCTGCTCAGTTCTTTCTTACTGCCAGTGACAGTGGTTGGAGTTTCCTTCTCTTCCCTTGGCAAGCGGTTGCCTAGTGCTCTTGTATCTACTCTTTGTATAAAGTTGTTTTTCAATAAGTGTTAGTTTGTTAAAGTTATAGGGGTTAGATTAGTTACATAAAGTTTTTTTTCTTCTTAGTTTTGCCTTCTCCCGGGGACTGGCGCAGGTTCTGGTCCCAGAGCTTCAAACCCTGTGTTTCTTGTCAGAAACCTATGCCAACAGGAGACTATCACGAATCTTGCCATAAGTGCTTGGGAGGGGCACACCTAACAGACAAATGCCAGAGCTGTAGGAGTTTCTGTCCTCCCACTAAAAAAGAAAGGACTTCAGGCTATAACTCCTTCTTATGGAGTCAGCGCTTCACCTTCAGCCAGTGCAGTTGAACACAGCAATTAAGCCAGCCTCCATGTGCAGCACACTGTTCTCCATGCAGGACAGTTCAACTCCTCCTTTGGTGCCCAAGACTTTAGGCATCGCCACTCTCCATCGGTGACTGGCACAACACCATCTCAGCACCGTTCTCCAGTGTCTCATAAAAGGCAAAAGTGAGTCGCTTACTACCAGAGGTGATAAGACTAATGGAGTGCATCATGCATCAGGATTCTCCATGATGCCCCAGGAGTAGCCTCGCTGTTGACTCTAGCACCATTTGAGTCCAGTCCATGTCAGCTCCTCGGCAAGGGAGAGCCACATGGGGGACTTCCAGTAGAATCATTTGAGTCCAGTCCATGTCAGCTCCCCGGCAAGGGAGAGCCACATGGGGGACTTAAATATGCCTTCCCCCTAACACGTTCAAGGCAATGTGAGGCCTCATTGAGTTGACAGCCCTAGAGTCTCTATGTAGAACTTTGTATCAAATGAATCTGGGCCATTCTAGGGCACTGGCACAATCAAGAGGTAAGCCTACCATGCCGTACCAATGGTCTCCCTTACCTCACTGATTTCCTTGGGACCGCTCTCTGGACCACTGGAACTACATCACCTTGCTCAAAGGTCTTGCTCCAGACAGCAGAGGTCACCACAGCCCAGCAAGTACCCCCACTACGTCACAGCATCATGCATCAGGATTCTCCATGATGCCCCAGGAGTAGCCTCGCTGTTGACTCTAGCACCACCAGTAGAATCATTTGAGTCCAGTCCATGTCAGCTCCTCGGCAAGGGAGAGCCACATGGGGGACTTAAATATGCCTTCCCCCTAACACGTTCAAGGCAATGTGAGGCCTCATTGAGTTGACAGCCCTAGAGTCTCTATGTAGAACTTTGTATCAAATGAATCTGGGCCATTCTAGGGCACTGGCACAATCAAGAGGTAAGCCTACCATGCCGTACCAATGGTCTCCCTTACCTCACTGATTTCCTTGGGACCGCTCTCTGGACCACTGGAACTACATCACCTTGCTCATCATGGTCAGGCTTAACCTCAGACTTGGAGCTAGACTCCTATGTATCGAGGTGAGACCTGCAGCATTCAAGATGCTCTCACAGGGAGCAACCTCTCCAGGCACTGATGATACCCTAGGCACGTCATTGGCAATCCCCAGTGCAACGGCTTTTCTGGATGCCCTGCACATACTACCAAGCCCATGGCCTCAGTTCCTGGTCTGTTTTCTTGGCCTTGGCAGGAAAGCACCACCACCTGCTTCTCTAGCAAGAGAACCCCAAAGATCAGAGGATGATGTCCCAGTAGGCTTACACAGTGCTTTATCAGCTGGCCTGATGATTGTCATCCAGCCCAGCTCTGCAACTGGCATTGCAGCAAGCACTCAGCCTGTCACCACAGTCTACCTGGCCCCACAACAGGCACATGGCCAGCCACCCAACCCAGCACCGCAGTTGGAGCACAGCACCACGATAGGCACCCAACCTGGCACTGCAATCAGACACAGGCCATCAGCTGGCTACAAGGGTCACTAGCAGATTGGTCCTGCCTCCCATACCACTGGCCTCCTGGGAGATGAAAGGTCAAGAGAACCTGGGATTGGTGGGTGCTTCATCATTGTCCTCCCCGGATGAGGCAGTAGCAGGTTCAGCCATGGATAATGGGGCCCACTAAGAGTTACTCAGGGTGGTAGTTCAAAACTTGGACCTTCAAGCCAAGGAGGTGGCAGAAAAAATCAATCCCATGGTCGATATCCTCACCCAGAGGGGCTTTCTAGGATGGCATTGCTACTGATCAAAACAATTTTCAACTTCAAAAAGACCTTACGTGCCTTCATTCCTCCCACAGCAAGAAGGGTTAGTACTACTTTGTGCCCTCAAAAGGTTATGAGTGTTTATTCCTCCACAATCATGCACTCTGCTTGTAGATGCAGCTAACCTCAAGGAGAGAGATGAGCAGCAGAATGCCCCCCTCTCCCTCTCAACCCCAAAATCAAGAGAGACAAAAAAAGATGGACCTCTCTGGCCACATGATCTATTGGGGCAGAGGGAGGGGAGGGATTATCCATCTTTAGAATTTCGACCCAACAAGTGGAGCTGAACCAATAGTTGTAATTTTGGGGCCAACTTGGACAAATTTAAAGAGCTCCTCCCTGCAGACTTTCCCTCTGAGTTCACAACCATCTTGGAGGAGAGAGAGATCATTGTCAGACCTCTAATGCCAGGCTGCATTAGATTCTGGGGTCTCTATAGCCTGCTTCATGTCCACGGGTGTTGTGCAGGAGCTCATGGCTGCAAGTCTCTGGCCTGCCTCCAGAACTACATCATACGATACAGGACTTGCCCTTTGATGGCACAGAACTTTTGCTGAGTAAACCAGTTCCAGGCTCCAGATCCTGAAGGACACAAGGACAACCTTAAAAATCTCTGGGCCTCCATACACCAGCCTCATAAAGCAAGGGTTTTAAGCCACAGTCTCTACTTCATTACTATCCTTCCCCAGCACAGGCATGACTATAGTAGGATGGGTGGCCAAAAAAATAGAAGACGGCCAAGCTCTTCCAGCAATCAGGGCCAGGGCTCAGCAAGACAGTCTTCAGTCCCCTTAAAGAGTCTTTGAAAGTGTCATAAGAGCAGCCATACTGGGTGAGACCATAGGTCCATCTAGCCCTGTATCCTGTCTGCCGACAGTGGCCAGTACCAGGTGCCCCAGAGGCAGTGAACAGAAACAGATAATCAAGTGATCCCTTTCCTGCCATCCATTTCCAGCCCCTGACAAACAGAGACTAGGGACACAATTCCTACCCATCCTGTTAATAAAGTATTGATGGACCTAAACTCTGTCTGGGAATGATGCACAGATCCTTATATGTCAGATTCTTATGTTTGGAAACTTCATCTGATTTCTACTGGGCTTGGATCCAGATCACCTCAGATATCTGGGCTATAAGCACAATGTAACTTGGATATTCCATGAATTCTCCTCCCATTCACCCTCTCCATTTCTCTTCAGGACCCTTCTCATGAGCAGGAAGTGCCAGCAGTTTTGCTTCTTCCTCAATCACAACCAGGATTCACTGGTAGATATTTTCCTTACTCCATGAAGGGTTTGCTTACACATTCCCACCATTTCCTATCATCCATAAAGTCCTCCTCAAGATCAGTCAGGACAAAGCATTGGTAATTCTCATACCTTTGGCTTGGCCCTGGCAGCATTGGTTCACCACATTGCTAGACCTCTTAGTGGCCACACCCATACATCTGCCCCTGGTTCTGGATCTTATCACTCAGGAAGACTGTCAGCTTCCAATACCCCAACCCAGAGTCCGTTCGCCTCATGGCCTGGAATCTCCATGGCTAAATCCCTTGGAGCTAGTGTATTTGGGCATGGTCAGAGAAGTCCTCCTAGGTAGCAGGAAGCCTTCTACCTGTGCCACTTACCTGCCATCTGGCCTCTACAAAAGGCCAAAGGAGACCTCCATTACAGTTATCCTGGACTTTCTACTTCATCTAAAGCAGCAGGGCCTAGCAGCAGCTTTGCTAAAGGTGCACTTTTTAGCTATTTCAGCATTCCACTCCAGCTCAGAAGGGTAACTCAGTGGTAGGCTGCTTCTTAAACGGTCTGGACAGACTCTGCCCTCATGTGAGGCAGCTGATTCCCCTGTGAGCTCTTAACCTTATGCTAAGTTAATGGGGCCTCCCTTTGAGTTGTTAGCAGCCTGCTCCTTCCTCTGTCTTTGTTGGAAGGTAGTTTTCCTGATTGCTATCATGTCAGCCAGAAGGGTATCGGACCTTAAGGTCTTGGCATCGGTCACCTTAAACAATATTTATAAGGATACAGGGTTCAGCTTTGATTATGCCATGCCTTCTTGACTAAGGTGGTTGCATCATTTATGCTAATCAGGATGTTTTTCAACAGATTTCTTACCCAAAGCCACATGCAACCAACAAGGAGTGGTCACTCCCTTCCCTGGATGTTAGATATGCTCTTGCTTTCTATATAGAACACACTAAACCCTTTAGAAAAATCTACTCAGCTGTTCATCACTGTCACAGACAGAATTAAGGGCCTTCCTCTTTTCTCCCAGAAGATTTCTTCTCTGATAACGGCATGCATTAGAACCTGCTAGGACCTGGCCAATGTCCCAGCTCCTCCCTTAATCACACATTTTGCACGAGCACAAGAATTGTCTACTGCATTGCTGGCTCATGTTCCCATCCAGGGTGTGGTGTAGTCAGTACCTTGCTAGTTGCTGTGCTTGAGCTGTGGGCTGTGGATGACCCCTACTGGCCTCGGTCTATAAGCACTGCCCAGTGGGGGAGGGGGGGAGGGATGGGGGGCGTCTTGAGGGCCCCCATGACACGATGACCCCTACTGGCCTCAGTCTATAAGCACTGCCCAGCGGGGGGCGGGGCGTCTTGAGGGCCCCCATGACAGTGACTGAACCGGTTCTACTGGTTAAGGGAAGGAATGGAACAAAAGAAGTGAGTGTTGGGGGAAGGGTCAGTTCTCTGGCTGGAATCATGAAAGAGAGAGACTACGGAGGGGAGCTGGGAGTCTAAGGGCCGAGGCACCCATCTCAAGGGGTCTGAGCCATCCTGTCCCAGACTCCTGTAGCCATGTCATGTCTAGGCTGCACTGTACCCTGGAAAAGCAATAAACCCTCTCTATTCTCCTGGCTGGCAGGGTCTGTTCTTGCTGCTACAGGGCTGCATGATCAGAGGGACCCCCAACTTGCCGTCACACAGGGTATCTGCCAGGCAGCAAACAAAAAACAGCAGGTTCTCCGTTCTCACATTTATATCTCACTATGCCATTATTCAGCAAGCCATAGTGGTGTCACTCCAGGGGTCTCAATGGCCAACCCAACAGGTGCTGCTAGGGGAAAAAACCTTGTGATAACTGGGCACATAATGGGCACACACCTACCTGGAATGGACATGAGCAATACATCTTGAAGAACAAGTTACAAGAGGTAGGTAACTTTATTATTCACCAACTTTTTAAAACAAAGTTGTGATTCAGATCATGTGAGTTTTAAGAAATTATTTTAAAAACTTCTGAAAAGTGAAACTAATTGGAAAAGTCAGAATATGTCAGTTGATTTGCTAAAGGTATTTATCTTAGCAGTCCCCTTGGCACATTCATTACTGGCAGTGGGTTTTATATCAGAGTTTTCAGGTACAGGTTACACCTCCCAAATCTGGGATTCTCTCATCCAACAACTTCCATGGCTCGGCAGGAGCAAGGATGTTCCTGGATGAGAGAGCCTGGGGCAGGAGGACCAGCAGCCGGGAGCCTGGTGCAACCCTGCCAGTTCGCTAGCAGCAGGGTCACAGCAGCTTGGGAGGAGAGTGATTGGGGGCTGTATGCCGCCCAGCAGCGGAGCCCAGACCACAGTAGCCCAAGAAGGGGAGTCTGGCTAGGTTGCATCAGCCTGGGATGTGGCAGGGTGTAGCAGTGTGATTGGAACTGCCTGCTGCCCTGCATTGGGGCCAGGTGCAATCTGGCAGAATCAGCGCAGCTATTCACCAGTGGGGCTGGAGCTACCCAGCCAGCTGGCAGACACCGCAGCCACGCTAACGGAGCTGGCACTGGAGAGGGGTAATGGGATGAAGGGTTGGTATCGGGGGACCTCGTTCACCAGTGGGGCTGGAGCTGCCCAAGGAGCTGGCAGACACCCGCAGCCAAGCTGACGGAGCTGGCACTGGAGAGGGGTAATGGGATGAAGGGTTGGTATCGGGGGACCTCCCCTTGTCCATCAAATTCCATCATCTGAGACCAGTCAGGCCCCGAGGATGCTGGACAAGAGGGTCTAACCTGTAATACTATTTTCCTTTTTTTTTTTTTTTTTTTTTTTTTTTTTAAAATATTGAGAAGAAAAGTGGATGAAAGGAAGCTGGAATTCCAGTTTATTATGCCACTCATTTCTAAATCTGTGCTTAAATTAATCTATGATCATCTGAACTTGGTAGGAAAACTGACATCTAGTGGATTGTAATATACATAACAATAAAAGAGTTGAAGTTGTTTTCCATTGGTTAGTCACCCTAATAAGATTTCTTAATATGAAAAGGAGTAGAATGTTGCATTTTTTTTAAATTTATGCTCCATTTAACCTTTTGATATGTCTTCTGGTAATGCTTTTCACATCTTTTGTGATGAAAAATGTTTAAAAACTGGAAATTAATTTGATGTAATTTGACAATTTTCATTAGCTTCCACCAAAACGTCAAATTGCCATAAAAATGTAGTGTGCTGACAGTAGTGATTATGCATTCTTTTACAGACTAAAAGAAGCTTGTTTTTCTCTAAAGTTCTACAGGTTCTCAAGATGGGCAAGTAAGCAATCCCAGTAGTAGTAATAGCAGCCAGGATTCCCTTCACAAAGCTCCTAAAAAGAAGGGGATCAAATCCTCTATAGGTCGCTTGTTTGGTAAGAAAGAAAAGGGTCGACCTGGACAGACCAGCAAAGAGTCTTTGGGACAAGGTTGGTTTGTTATCTTCTAGCTAGTGTATTATGAGTAGTATAAATGGAAGGAAAGACTGTCTCATTTTGAACATTTTTAATGTGTTTTTCTAGGTAATGTATATTTTAGATGTCTAGGTGCATGACTCATGGTGAGAGAATAAAGATATTCTGAAGTGCTTGTTCATGTCTCATATTCAAATACCACATGCTTTAGGTATCTCTGGAAAAAAGAGCTACTTTTTAATTTTTTCTCCTTATCACATTTCATTAATAAAATGAGTTACCAATAGAAACATAATTGGACAATTACAGCTCACCAGTAATATTACTAAGTACTAATTACTTTGTTGTACAGAAATAGTATAATTATGCTGGTTTATAACAATACATTCAAGGTAAAATAAAGAAAAGTCACTAAGTGCCTTTTTTAAAAATTCCTTGTAGTTGGTTCAACAGAGACAGACAATTCATCTCAGGATGCCTTAGGACTCAGCAAACTTGGGGGACAGGTGGAAAAAAATAGAAAACTACAGAAAAAGTAAGTTATTAAATATGTAATTTAGGGGAAATTAAATAATTTACTTGCTTAAAGGAAAAATTCCAAATACTATGCCCAAAACAGTATCAAGCCTTATTAGGTCTTGCAGACTTCTTTTTCACATACATCTCCAATCTAATGTGTTTAAAAATGGGGTGTAGTCCTGCCACACCTGAGCTGATGGCACATAGCACTAAAATCACTATTGTAAAATGAACTTTGGAAAAATAAAAATGGGCTTAGTAATAGAGATGTTAAATTTAGATTATTTGGCTAATCGAATAGTCGATGCAATTTGCATCAACTATTCCATTAGTCAATAAGGGCACCTTTTAAGCTGGCTACCCCCAGCACCGGCTCCTGCTCTCCCCCCTCCCCCCTTGCTGTCTCTGATACAGAGGCAGCAAGGGGGAGGGCAGAGTCTAGTTGAATAGTGACTTGACTACCTGATAAGCCTAAAGGTTTACATCCCTAGTGTGAGGGGCAGAGGAGCTCCAGGAGGCCTGGAAGGGGTGTGGCCTTGGATGGAAGCGTGGAGTTAAGGGCAACCAGCCCTCATCACCTTTCCCAGCCCGCCAATGGTGATTTAAAGAGCTCAGGGCTCTGGTTGGAACAGCCCCCTCCACCTGCCACAGCTGGGCTGGAGTGACCTGTGTTGTGGGCGAGGGCTACTCCAGCCCAGCTGCTTCCAACCCCATGCTGGGCTGCCAGATCGCAGCCTGCACACGGCGTAGTGATGGTGGCTGGGAGTCAGCAGCCTAGCGCAGGGAGGTATTTCTTACTGTTGCCTTCTCCGCTGCTGCTTCCTCACTCCCTACCCTGTCGCCGACTCCTAGCCCACAAGCCCATGTAGGCTGGGAATTGGCAGCCCAGCAGCCCTATGTGGGCAGAGCAGCCCTCTGACTGTGACAGGCTGTGGGCGGAAGGCTGCTCCAAGGTAATCAATTAACTGGTTTCCTGATCACATCCCTACTGCACGTAAACTTAATTCTCCCTTGCAAGCAGTATGTGGAAATATTTATAAATAAGCATGGAAGGGAATTTGGGGCATACATCAGATATTTTATAGGAAACCTAGTGAAACTTTTAAAATTAGTCTTTACAAATGGTTCCTATGACAAAGTAACATGTTGTAATAGTTGTAAAGCATTTTAATTCACTGAAATAGCAAATTTGCTACATTAGCAGTAAATAATTTCTGTTTTAACCAGTCTCTCATCATCATACATTTATGATTCTCAACCATTTCTACCAGATCTCTTTGAAATCCAACTCCAAATTACATGAGGTCTCCCTCTCATTTAGCAAGGACAGGGTGAATACAGCCAGTTGAAGCATGTTTAGAAACTCCGGCATAAAACATGTTTTAGTTCCAAAAAAGTAAGACAGCATTTCTGCAAGACTGAAATTCATGCTCATCATGCCAGTGTGCATTTGGTATGGTCTTGTCCTCTTTTCAGATACCTTACAGTGTCTGTAAGATTGCTAAAAAAGGAAAGGTGGACAAAGGAAACAAAATACCAGTGTTAAATAAATGAAACCTAGAGCTAAATTACTTTTTCAATCATACTTTCTCTTAATTTAATGACTTTCTATAATTTTAGACATGAATTGCTTGAGGAAGCTAGAAGGCAAGGTCTGCCCTTTGCACAATGGGATGGCCCTACTGTAGTGGTGTGGCTAGAGGTAAGTGATCCCATTTTAAAGCATAAGGTACCTATAGAGGAGACTCTTGTCGTGTTTTTAATAACTTGAAGATTTGAAGAAACATGTGTATTTACAAATGCTACTGACATATTGTTTTCTATTTGCCAGTTATGGGTAGGGATGCCTGCGTGGTACGTGGCTGCTTGCCGAGCCAATGTGAAAAGTGGTGCCATCATGTCTGCCTTGTCTGATACGGAAATACAGCGTGAAATTGGAATCAGTAATCCTCTACACAGGTTGAAATTGAGGCTTGCCATTCAAGAGATCATGTCACTAACAAGTCCATCTGCCCCTCCTACATCAAGAACGGTAAGAAAAAAATTGGAAGTAACATATTCTGGTGGGAGAGAAATCCCTGTTAAAACAGTGTCAAACAGAAGTTTCTTCAGAAGGTTCCAGAATTCTAATGAAAGAATTTTGAGGGTGGAAATTTTGAGTTTTTAAGAGAAACTTTTCAAAATTACCTTAAATTGAAAATGACCACATAACCATTTTTAAATGGTTGTTTACCAAAAAAACTCTAATGTGGAATAATTATCATACAAGTTTTTAACACATTTTTACTGCTAAAAATATTGGTAATTTAAAGCAGATATGATATACTATTGTAGAAATTGAGTGAAGAAGTTACTGGTTTTTTGTATAGGAAAAGGTCGGTTATTTTTCATCTCAACATGACAATATGTTTAAATAAGGGATTATTAAGAATAGTTCTATGTTTATTAAGAATAAGTGTAATTTGCCAGGAATATCACATTTTTATTAGCTAAAGGAATAGAACGTACATATAAGTAACTATGTTGTAAATTCAAGATGCTTTAATTTTATAATTTTTAAAGATTGAGTGAGTTGCAATCAGAGAGAAACTCAGCTGAATGAGTGATAGGAATTCTGGGCAATGGCAGCATCTCAGTGTAATTGATTATAAATTGTGACTATTGCCACGAGAAACCCTCTGACTTTTATTGGCTCTATGTGGTTGTAATGGTCCATCTACAAGTACCCAGGGATGGGATTAGTGCTTATAATTGGCATATTGCGTATATGCTCTAAATCATGCAAAGCAAATTATTTTAAACAGTGGCAATTGTACAGCAAAATTCAAAGTGTTTTTATAATTGGATGAGATAGTCCAGTAAAAGCAGAGAATTGAATTATTAAATGTTGCTCTGCCTTGTGCTATTACTTGGAAGCACTGATGCCTCTCGGAAAATACTGGAAAAAATCCTGACTAAAGGATATTCTGATGATGATTTATTCTCCTTCCCCTTTTTATGTTGCTTGAGACACTGTAAAAACAAAAACCTTGATGCTGCTGACAACTTTATATTTAATTTAAAGTCAAAGAATTTTGACAGATTGGCTACGTCTAGACTGGCCCCTTCTTCGGAAGAGGCATGCTAATTTCTAACTTTGGAATAGGGAAATCCGCGGGGGATTTAAATAAACATGGCTGCCGCTTTTTTCCGGATTGGGGAAAAGCCGGAAAAAAGCGTCTAGACTGGCCCGATCCTCCGGAATAAAGCCCTTTTCCGGAGGATCTCTTATTCCTACTTGCAAGTCTGGACGCTCTTTTCCGGCTTTTCCCCAAGCCGGGAAAAAAGCGGCGGCCGTGTTTATTTAAATCCCGCGGGGGATATTTAAATCCCCCGCGGATTTCCCTATTCCAAAGTTAGAAATTAGCATGCCTCTTCCGAAGAAGGGGCCAGTCAAGACGTAGCCATCATGTCATAATGGGATGAATTAAGAGAGGAATGAGCAACAGGAAAAAATATATAATCCATTCAAATGTTAGTAATTTAGGAAAAAGTGGACAAATTTCTAAACAATATAATCCGTATAGTTGGCTTTAATACTATGTCTTTTAAAATGTTTATTCATAGCTTTTCCAGAAGGTAGTAATGTTTCTTAAAGTAGAATGTCTTTTATATTAGGTAATGGGTTCTTTTGGCTCGCACTTAGTAGGTTTATGCAGATGTGGAAAAATTGTTCTAATAAAAAGAGCCGTATTTGTTTACATAACTTAAGTCTGATTTTGGTATGTTAAACCTTGCATTGATCTCACTCTCTGCATTCATATTGCACAATGTGGTATATTTACTTGAATGGGAGTTACCGTATATTCTGGCGTATAAGATGACTTTTTATGCTAAAAAACATCCCCCAAAAATCGGGGGTCGTCTTATACGCCAGGTATACAGGCAGTTCCCGACTTGCAGGTACGAATGGGGCTTTTCTCGCCCCGGAGGACACGGACTGCGGGACCTCGCGGTCCCGCCGCCCGTGTACTCCAGGGCGAGAAAAGCTGCTCCGCG